TATATCCATTTCAGAATATCTATCAACAATATTTCTTGAAACAACTTCCTTTTGATATTCATCTAATTTTTCGATTTGATCAGCAATTTCTTTTGTACAATAGCCACCTAAACATCTATGTACTAATCTTATTGATTGACTTTTTCTATCTGCTTCGGAAAAATTATGATTATTTGTAAGAGCTTTTATTTTTTCTATTTAACGTCTTATACTATCTTCAATTATCTTTTTTACTAAGCTCCAAGCATAATCGCACAATCTTCAGTTTTCTCTATTAATTGATTTAAACCTGTATTTAAATGTCGTTTAGCTTCTTCCTGAAAATGTTTTCCTACAACATTCGATTGTAAAGTCAATATTTTGCCTGCATCAACTTGATAATCGAATTTTTCAATTGCATCTATTAGGTTGTCCGGAAACTTCGTGCAACTCATATACTGTTAAATGGCAGAAAAACAATAATCATATTTATTGAATGTACTGATCTCCACTAGCAACCACACGCTGCCAGCGGTCGCGCAAACGCTCTATACCTTGACAAAAAAATTCAGAATTAAGATCATTTAACAGTTCCTATTGCTTCATTGTCGGAGCTAAAATTCTTGTCACGAAGGAACTTTTTCAAATTTGAGAACAGGTGGTAATCACTCGGTCCAATATCTGGAGAATAGAGAACTAAAAAAAAGGGAACTAAAGAAAAGGGAACTAAATCCTCAACTTTTTTAAAAGTAGCTTTTTCTCGTATTTTTAATTAAAGGGAACTAAATCCCCGGGAACTAAATCATGTAAGCCGCCGTGAATATCGTTGATTATTGAATAAAAAAGCAAGTTTTCGAGACAAGCAAAGTCGAGCAAGGAACTAACATAAAACTAGTACAAAAGATGGAAATGGGTCTTCCCTAATCAGTGCGAAGTTGGTGGAATACGAAATAAGCTTCCAGTGAGCATCACTGTAGTGTAAATATTGACTAGAATTATCCGTCTCTGCTTTTTATGCCAGTTTCAAGTACCCAAGTTGTACTCTGTGCCAAGCTATATTTTAGAAAAGATACTTTCTCAAATAAATTTTATGTGCGAAATAAGAAAAACTGAGCAAATCAACCATAAAATGGAATACACAACATGGATATACGACGATTCTTCTATTAAACTCAATATGAGAGCAGAAATACTATTTTCGTCGAATATTCAGTTTAGTCAGTATGAACATACGTCCAAAATTTCATTGTTGGAATATGTACAAGAATCTCTGGTTAACCATTCTTATCTTCGCACCAGAGTTCCTGTAGCAAGGTTGCGAAACGATCGTGCATTGCCGGAATCTTCAGAACTTCAACAAAATATTCTCTCAGTTTCCTTATTTCTGCATCGTTCTCATCACAAAGGTGCAGATGAAGGCTCCAGATACCACTAATGCGTTGTTCGACTGATTTTACTTTGAATATTGTGCCAACAGAAAATAAAATTTCTTTTTCGTCTGCTATATGACTCAGTTTCGAAATATCGGCAAATGTTGATATCTGTTGATAGTGATGTGCATCAAATTCAATCTCAAATATGACAGATTCATACTGTGGTCTTTGGAAACCAAAGCCAGAGAAGATGAGAGCAACTTCTTTGTCGAGAGTTGTTGAGAAAAAGGTACTAATAGATATATAACCACCGACATTCCGTTTCAAATTTGTCAATTCTTTTCGGCTAATCAGCTGACCCCGATAGACTGTTCTGAAAGAAGAATTGATTAAGAGTTGAACATTCTGCGCTTTTGTCAGTTGGTCATATAAATCGATGATAAAGTATCGAAAGTCAAGAATATCAACAACGTTTTCTGCACGTAAAGCTGTGTTCAATAAACGATGCAAAAATGAGTCTTTCGTGTACCATCTGGCTGCTGCGTCTGACGTGTATGTCTTTTCGAACTCGTTGATTTTATCTAGTTCGCGCTGATTGTCTCGACAATACGATCTACATCGCTGCAAAAGTCTTTGATTGAAATGATCAGTGCGAGGTGATATGTGCCGAAGTATCTCGATTAAATGCAGAAACATAACATCGAAGTAATTGTCTAGTCCCAAAGAAGTCACGTCATCCTTACCGCATAAAGTTAGGCGAATGAGATAATAATTTTCTGAGCTGAGCTGCTCGACTGATTCAATCCGAAATATTGTCTCACTTGGAAAGAAAACCTCCTTTTCATCTGGGAAAATAGGATTCGATGACACATCGGCGAATGGTTTGTTGGGTACGAGAGTGTCTGGCAGAGTGATTTCGAACATTCCCGAGATAAACGTATACCTGCCTTCTCCAGAATAGACCTCAGCAATTTTACGATCAGACGAGGTGAAAAATACAGCGTTAGTTGAAACTAAGCATCCAATGTGACTTTGCAACGTCTGCAATTCCTTACTACTCATCGAGTGACCTCTATAAACTTTGGAATGTTGAGGCTGTCCGGAATTATACAATTCGGCTAATGCACTGTACAAATCGCAAATTAAGAAGCTGAAGCGTAAGATCGATTCAATATTTCCTTGTCGCAGCGCTTTTTGCACATCACGATACAGAAAAGTATCGCGCGAATACCAAAAAACAGCGTTTATTCCATCGTAATAGTCACTAAACTCATCTAACGTCCTTTGTACACTAGGATCGTCTTTATATAAAGACCGACAATAATCAATCATTCTTCCTTGTGCTGCTTGGTCACAGGGTGACGTCATCGCTCTCAGTGTCTCTCCCAAAAGTCCGAAACATTTGAATTTTAATTGTTTTATATCTATGTGACGAGTGGTTGTGCCTTTCGAATGCAGAGATTTAAGATAAATATGATAATCATGTTGTATTTGTTTCACCAGATCGTCAGCAGTCGTGATTGCATCTTGAAAAGATCTATTGTGATCTGGATCAAGGACATACAACATTATGTTTGTATGTAGTAAATGATGAAGTTGACGTAATTCGACTGACGTTATTGTGCCTACTACGATTAGATAGACTCGGGAAGTATTTCTAGATGAGAGATAGCAGATGTAGTCATCGATACTGTTGAAATGTTTGTATTGATGAAAAATATTGCTCAGACTAGAAAAGCAGTCTTTCCATTTTATTAAGTCATTGCCAGTGAGATCAACTACAATAAGTGCATAATTTCTAGCGTCATCAGCTGAATGCATAGCATGATCAAGCCGTATTTTATTGATTATTGAATTGTGATCGTCAAATATTTCTCCAATATTGGTAATGTTAACTGACTTTGTTTTAAATTTGTATAAGAAGGCGTTTTGTGGTAACGTCTGCTCTAGCAAGAGATAATCGTACTCATCAAACGTGCCGGTGGCAATAAAAAATATTTGTTCAGCATTGCAAGCAGAGGTTGATATGTAGTTTAGACAAGTATGAATGTCTTCAAACGCTTCAAAATGTGAAATAATTCTACGCAAACGAGTGACTGTTTCACACCATTTCCGATCGTGATTATTAAGATTATCAAGCCATATCAGCACACGTTCTTCGTAGTTTGCAGGTATCTTATCCGTCTTATCATTCCAAACTGTAGTAAACGTTTCTTGTGGATATTCATGTTCAGGAAGCCAGAGAACATCAGTAACGGAATTAGACATCAGCGTTGAATAGTTTAAAAACGATGCAACATGATGACTGCATGAGAAATGAAGTTACTCAGAGTACTCACCTGATCATTCTTGTGGTTGTAGAGATGAGAAGCCAACTGGAGGAAATATTTTACAGTAGATGAAGTAAAAGTCCAAGGGCAGCCTTATAACTCAAAAAGTAAACGGTACCTTTTTCTAAAAAATAGCATGGTATAGAGTACAAGTTGTGTACTATAAACTGCCAGAAAAGCTGAGGAAGAGTACCGTGAAATTTGTTAAC